CCGCCCTGGGGTCCGCCCCGCCTGCGCGCCTCGGCTCTCGCACCGCAGCTGCGCCTCCCCCGAGCCCCCCCGTAGTGCCGCACGCCGAGATAGCGCCCCCCTGGGACGGGAGCTCTTCGCCCCTGTGTCCCTGTCCCCTCGGACCTTCCACCCCAGAAGAAAGAGACCGCCAGCTTCTCCCTACCCCTCGGCCCCCACGGGCTTTGCTCCCTGGGCCGAGATGTTTTTTTGAGGGACCGAAGTTTCTAGCCATTTCTTTATCGCCTCTTCTCCAAGCTCTTCCATTCAGCCTCCACACAGTTGAAAACACTTGGGAGATTCCCACCGCCCCCTTAACCATCACCACCCTCCTCATCGCCCCCACCCCATCTCCCTACGCCCTTCTCATTCCCCAGCCCTCCAGCAACCTTCGTTTCCTGACACTTCACTTTGTTTTCACAGGTAACTCTTAGGTGACATGCTCGTTTAGCTAATACTGTGAAAGCCTTGCTACTTTGTTCCTACCTTTGCCAAACTTAGTTTCCCTCGCACCAAATAATCCTCTGAATTGTTGAGTGCTGCTCATCCACCTCTTCATTTTGTCACACTACGCCAGTTTGTGCCCTTCATGGTGGAGCAATCTTTTCTTACGCAGGACACCTGTAGAGTTGACTTGCAGAGTGTGTGTAAACACACTCGGTAGATGGTAGGTAATTAGATTACCCGTTGTGGGAGTCTTCTTTAGTCAGGTTGGCATTTTTTACTCATCTTTTGATTGTGTTCTGGGGGCTCTGTACAAATTCTGGTCAGGTTTGGTAAAGGCCAAGTAGAGGGATTTTCTTCGTTTGAATACATCACTTTATCTTACAAGATGATTTCTCCCCTTATTCAGAGCTTAAATGGCAACTTGCATTGAACGAGGATTTTTCTTGTCTTATTTATAGGTGTGATTCCAATGACACGTGGAAGCTGTGTTATTTGTTGCCTCTGTGTATGGGCAAGAGCTTTTGTTTCTTAGAGTATATAAATGAGGTGGCCATAAAACAGCTACCAAGAAAGTCCTAATGATTTAGTTTTTTAAAGATATTTAAAGATAAGCATACAAGAGTTGGGCTACAGGAGAGGTGTGTGTGTGGGGGGGCGGTGAGGGGGTGAGAGGATTCACCAGAGACAGTGGGGAGCAGAGCAGGTAGATTGGGGCCCTCTCTGGTGGAGCAACCAGTTAAAGTGCAGCACTCTGAAGCTACCGCAGCCGCTGCAGCACGAGTTCCATCCCTGGCCAGGGGGTGACCCACATGGCATGGCAGACCTCTTTACCCGTGGCTGTTCCTCTCAGCAGTGTGTTTCAGTACATCTGCCTGTTGTCTCTGGTGGATCCTTTCACCCCCACCCCCCCACCTCTGGCCTGTATCCCAGTTCTTGTATGTATAAATAAATAAATCTTAAAAAAAAAAAAAAGAGGCAGATTGACTGAACCACACTGCTGAGGGGAGTGGCAGGGAGACAGGAGAGGTCTGTTGTGCCCTGTGGGTCAGCTCTCTGGCCGGGGATTGAACTTGTGCTGCAGTGGCTGGTCCTAGCTTCAGAGTGCTGAGACTTGACTCCTTGTGCCACCCTATGTATTTCTTCAGATTAGGTTTAAGGGCCTAGACGGTGCTGCCTTTTTGGGAGGGACCTCCCTGGGGGCACATGGGCTTAAGTCAAGGCTCAGTACTCTGCAGCTATCCGCAGCCTCTATGGCCTGAGTTTGATCCCTGGCCAGGGAGCTGACCCATAGGGTGCAGCAGACCTCTCCCGTCTCCCCGCTGCGCCCCTCAGCAGTGTATTTCAGTCACTCTGCCTGTCTTGCTCCCCATTCTGTCTCTGGTGAATTTTCTCCACCCCCACACCTCTGGCCTGCACCCCAGCTCTTACGTGCCTAAATAAATCAATCTTTTTTTTTTTTTTAAACAAAAGAAGGTGCTGCTTTTGCAGGAGGGTCGGGTGGGGTTGAAGTAACTTTTATTCAGTGTGTTTCAGTGCTTGGAATAAGGACAGGGATCTTTAATTTCAGGTTGAACCCTGTCATTGCATCTGGTCCCAGAAATTGGTTTTTCTTTACTGGTATCATAAAATAAAGCATTCTGGTGCCCAATCTAGCATTAAGTACACATGAACTTAGCAAAAGAAGAATGAATATTACACTTTCTTTTGGACAGATCTCAAGGCCAGAGAATGGCAGGTGAACAGAAGCCCTCAAGTAACCTCCTGGAACAGTTTATTTTACTAGCCAAAGGGACCAGTGGCTCAGCCCTCACTGCTCTCATAAGCCAAGTCTTGGAGGCTCCTGGAGTTTATGTGTTTGGAGAACTTTTGGAGCTGGCCAATGTGCAGGAGGTAAGAGAAGTCTCCAACCGTTTCTCTGTCTTTGTTCTAAGCCTTTCTGTGATTCTCCAAGTCTCCCAGGCATTAGAGTGCTGAAACATTACAGGCCTGTGCGATGAGGGCTGGGAATGGCGGGAAGAGAGCAGGGCTGATATCCTGAGCGCCTCTGGTCAGTGTTGTCACAGGAGCATGGGGTAGAAGCTGACTGGGTTGCTGATAATTTGAAAGAGGAAAAGATTCTGTTTTTAACCAGACTGATTGGAAAAGTTTATAACCACAGACTGATGCTTCACGGGCAACTTCAGGCATTCTAAGCAATATAGACAAGGAAGGTTGGTCCTGTGTCACCATAGCAGGAAATGACTGCTGTTGAGCGTGAGTGGCACCGGTGGAGGATAACTCGTTGCCGTGGGATAAGGTGATCTCACGCTAATGTGGATGTGTCAGGGACATAACGGAAAGCTGGGAAGTGGTTCTTTTTGCTTTGTTTGTGTGTTGTTAAAATCTTGGTCATCAGGTTTTGGTAGTTATACTTTAAGACAGTGAAGGATGACCAGGTGGAACAAAGAGGTGTAAAGCAATCTATGCTTTTCAGCTTCTGCTTCCCACTTTGGGTAGTTTTATATTTACTGAGTGACACTTTACATTGATGTCCTTTGAGCATTTATACATTGATGCTTTTTCACTGACTGACAGAAGACTCTGGTGCCATCTTTTATTACATTGAGGGCTGTGCTTGGGAGTGCTTGGGTGGGGCTGGCATCCTTCTCACTGCTGGGGCTGCTTTTGGGGCTCCCTGGCTGGTGTGGGCTCTTGGCCACCAGTGGATGTGGGCCGGTCTGAGGTAGCCAGGCCTTCTGGCTGGGGGCGGCCTCAGGCTCGATGCCCTCATCCTAGTGGTGAATCAGCCTCTCAGAGTAGGAGGAGTTGCCACGTTTAGGCTGCTGTGCAGCCAGTGTCCCCTTGGTTGGGACATGGGGGATCCCGTGGCCACCCATCACGTGGCATCACCTCTCTGCGTCAGCTGGGAACAGCCACCTCCGATTTTTAATTGTGATTTTCTATTTAATGTCTGTCTTGCTCGCTAGACTGTAAGCTCAGGGAGCGGAAGGTCACTGTGTTCATCATTGCTTCTTCAGAACTTGTTGTATAGCACAAGGTAGACTTCCAGTAAAAATTTAGCTTCATAGGAAGGGGAACCCTATGAAGGAAACTTAAAAAGACACACACTTTTTAGAGCAGCTTTAGATCATAGCAGAATTGAGAGGAAGGTACAGAGGTTTCCAGTCTGCCCTCACCAAGCCCCCTTGCGCATGGCCTGTCTCCCTGCCAGCCTGGAGCCTATTTAAAGTCCATAGTTCACGTTCCCCTCACGCTCAGTGTTGGATGTGCACGTGATGGCATGTGTTGCCGCTGTGGTGTCACGCTGAGTAGTTTCGCTGTGCCTGAACATCCTCTGCTCGGCCTGTTCATTCCTCCCAGTAATTCCTGGCACCATCCATCTTTGCACTGTTCACAGTTTTTGACTTTTCCAGAGCGTCATAGCTGGGATCATACAGTGTGTTGCCTTTTCAGATCGGTTTCTTTCTTTTCATAGTAATACACACATCTTCACAGTTTGACAGCTCAAATGTTTTTCAGCAGAAGAGATAGCCACGGCATGATGCCTGCTTTCAGGTTTATGAAAGGCCTGAGTTAACCTGTCAGGCACTTGTCACTCTGGAGAGTGGTGAAGAGGAGACAGATGAACGTCAGCACCAGGGAGACTTCACTGATGTCAGCCCTGGGAGTTCTGGAGAGGCCCTATTTTGCGATTACTTCTCTGAAAACTGGGCCACATTTAATGGTCTCTTCCATGTCTGATTCAGGAACTGAACAGGGGGGCGTGATAACCCAAGAAGAGAGATGGGCGTTAGGGAGCCAGAGTTCCTGCGGCTTCCCTTTCCCCACGTGTGAGTTGGGAATAAGCTAGTTGCTTTTCTGTGCTTTGAAATTTTGCATGTAGTTCTTGGAGCCTTTTTTAAAAGGTGGGCAAGATTGCACAGGACCACTGTGGGCGTCTGTTCCTGCTCGGCGCCTGCTAAGTCTGGTGCTTAGAGGAGTGACCCGGTTTGGGAGAGACGCTTGTTGGGAGTGACTGGGGTACCCAGGGCAGGTGTCTTCCTTTCTGCTGCAGATGGCACTTTGTGGTCGTGTCCACCAGGAATAAGTCATTTTTTGGAAAGATATATTTATTTTTGCATACTGAACTGGGGTACAGGCCAGAGGTGCAGGGGTGGTGAGAGGATTCACCAGACAGAGTGGGGAGCACAGGCCAATGGACGAAGTACACTGCTGAGGGGAGCAGCAGGCAGGCCAGGAGAGGTCTGCCACACCATGTGGGTCACCTCCAGGCCGGGGATCGAACTCATGGTGAAGTGGCTTTAGCTTCTCAGTGCCGTGCTTTAACCCGCTGTGCCACAGGGAGGGCCAGAATAAGTCATTTTAATGAAAACCTGGACATAGGGCAGCGAGGTCCTGTTTTCTGTCTCAGCCTGGAGCTCTGGCGCCTCTTGTTTGCCTCCTGGCATCTGTGGGCCATGTGTTGTCTTGAAACTTGAAGCCAGCCCTGGACTTTGCTGGGGTTGGATGCAGAGTGACTGTGCGGCACCTGCCAGCCTGGTGTGAGACAGGCCGCTGCGGTCTCCGGCTTACTGGGGGGAGGGGGCAGGCCCGGGAAGCCTTGAGCTGCCTCCCCACTGCTCTGGGCGAGTGTGTGGGCATGCCCGGTGAGCATGGAACAGTGTTCCTGAGAACGAAAAGCTAAGCTTGAGCCTTCCTAGTTTCATGTGTTTCCCAATAAAAAAATGGGAAGGGGCCTGAGGTACCGCCGCCTCCGACGACGGCGACTGCCTCTGCTTGAGCCCTGCAGCCAGGGCTGTGAACTGTTTTTGCCTCCTCAGCTTGCAGAAGGAGCGAATGCTGCTTATTTGCAGTTGCTGAACCTGTTTGCCTATGGGACATACCCAGATTACCTAGGTAAGTCGGGTCAGGCCCTGTAGAACTTTTTTTTTAAAAAAGATTTATTTTTATTTTATTTATGTATACAGGAACTGGGGTACAGACCAGAGGTGTGGGAGGTGAGAGGACTCCCCAGAGACAGAGTGGGGAGCAGAACAGGCAGATCCACTGAAACACACGGCTGAGGGGAGCAGCGGGGAGACAGGAGGGGTCTGTGGCGCCATCTGGGTCACTCCCCGGCCAGAGGGGGATTGAACTCAGGCTGCAGTGGCTGGCTATCGCTTGATAGTGCTGAGGCTTAACCCCTTGCACCACCAGGGACGCCCCCCTAAGAATTTTCTTGACTGTGTTGTCTCCACAGGGCCAGCTGAGGCCTGGCCAGACAATGACCTGGTCGGGCTCTGTCGGTCACCTCATGGGAAGATGGTCCCCTCCCCTTTTACTTCCCAGTGGGCGAACGGGCACTCCTTCACGCACGCCCAGGAGCACAGCCCTTGCTTGCTTTCCAGATGAGCCTCCTGATGTTTGCAGAGCACATGGGGTGTTGTGGAATGTCAGTGCCCCTTGTAAAGCGTTTGAGCACTTAATAGCGAGAGCACATCACCATATTGCAGAAAATTTGGCGAATGGGGTCAGCCCCTCCTAGTCGCAGCGCCACCGAACCGCAGTTGGCGTGACGGTGCTGCGTCCCCGCCCCGCCGTGTCATGCGAGCAGGCGTGACTCAGCCCTTGCTCCCTCACCCCGCATAGGCATTCGTCCACATTTGGCGGCTTTCGCGTGTCTGTTATCCTGTAACCTAACAGTCCACAACCTTCTGAGTCCGTGCTCTTTGTAGGTCATTTGAGTCATTTTTAATTAGAAACGTAAGCAGCAGGAGGCTGCCTGGCCTGGCCTGGTCTCCCCGGCTTACCGCCCGCTGTCCCAGCGGCGCCGGCCGGGCAGGGCCTTCGCTGCTGTACCCCGGCTCCCTGCTCCCGCCGCTCTCTCCTGCTTGCGCTGTGCTGCTGCTGGACTGGGCAGTTTGCTCCTTGCCGCTTTTTCTGACTTTCGCTTTGCTCCCACGAGTGTGTCCTCTGCTCTGAGCTCACAGGGAAGAGCCACACTGCGGTGTCACACTGCCTGCTCCACCGGCACTGGGCTTGGCCTTTGGTGAACTTAATCACTGTTCCTGTTTCCTCATCTACAGTAATGCAGGCCCACCACTGCTCACCTGCACTTCTGGGGCCCGATTTTCCTGGGGCCTTTCTGGGGAACGCCCTCGAGGGAATGGGCAGCCTGTTGTGAGATGCTCCTGGGCGGGGCCTCAGCACCATGCCCGCGGCACAGGGTGTTCACTTCAGCTGGGCTGCGCTGCAGGGAAGCTCTCCTGGCGGCTGTGAGGGCGCGGAGGTGTGTCCTGTGTCTGCGCCCAGTCAGGCTTGCCAGTCACGCACCCTGTGGCTGCCGCCACTGCCACGCTGTGCCCGCTCGCTCTCCCATCTCGGCGTCAGCTTTTTGCTGTTCCTTCTGTACCTCCCCTCCCCTCCTGCTCGCCCTCCCCCTTCCTGCTTTCCCCTCTCCTCCACCTTTTGCTCTTTCCTCATCATTTGCATCTTCTGGTACCTTCTGTCTCTTGTATGTAGTTGTTGAAACGTCTGATAATAAGACCGAGGACAAGTCCAGGCCCTGGAGTGGCCTGGCCCTCGTGGTTGGTGACCTGAGAGCCTGGCAACCAGCCCCAGGGCCCTTTGGCATCATCGAGCCGCTCCCGGTCACTTCCGACGTTGCCTCGCACAGAAGCTCGGCAGGGATGTGTTCGGCCTGCTGGACGCGCCCAGGGCCCAGAGAGTATTCTGTTAGGCTTGGCGTCGAGTCATTGGCACGTTTCTGCCTGGCTTCTCAGGGCCCAGGCCCATCCTGTGTGCAGAGCCTAAGTCTCCTGAAGCAGCCGGGAGGTGCTTGTGCAACATTGCCTAACGGCTGAGTGCTGAGTCATGGTGATTCACAAGTGGGTGTGATGTGGGAGCTTATTTCATAAAGAAATCCTAATTTTATTCTGTGTCTTGATTTTTGTGGTGGGTGGGACTGAACAGCCAACAAGGAGAGCCTTCCTGAACTGAGCACAGCGCAGCAGAACAAGCTGAAACACCTCACCATTGTGAGCTTGGCGTCCAGAATGAAGGTAAGTCCTGGGCCTTCTCTTGTCTTGCTCCCCTCCCTGGGGCGGGTGCCCCGAGGGCATTAGGATGGGGACTCCCAGCTACAGGCCGTCCAGTCACATCATAAATACGCTATGCCTGGCAAAGGATAAAAGAGAAGAAGATAATAATACAGTAGTGCAGACGATTACTCACCCTTCGCTCAGAAGCGTGCCCGGGAGCGCTGTGAGTCAGCGTGCCGCAGTCTGGTGCGGCCTGCGCTCGCTGGGTGCTGTGCTGGGGGCAGCCCCGGCTCGGTGTCCCCCAGCCTGCCTCTGAGGCTCTCGGAGGTGGCGCCGACACGGAGAGAGGCCTGCTGTTGGGGCTCACTGAGGCAGATTTTTTACTGTGCCGCCTCCTTGGGATTTCCAAGCTTAATCACGCTAATCAGAGTTGCTGCCCCGCATGCTGATTTTGTACCCTGTCACCCTAGTCTCCTACCCCCGAGGCAGCAGGAGCCGGCAGCCTACTGCTCACAGCATTAGCAGGGTGGTCCAGGCTCAGTGAGGTACACGGGTTTTGGCTCTGCCCGATTGCAGCCTCAGGAGCTGCGTTTTCGCGGGGCTCTGCCTTTCAGAAAGTTGGCTTTTTGCATTGAGCTTGAGATTGTGTGTTGTGTCGATTGCCATGTTGGTGGCTGAATTTTACCTGGCTGATCCACAGACTTCTGAGCCTCAGCCTGGCATTTCAGGTCGGTGCCTAATGTCAGGCAGTGAGGACCTGACTTTGCTTTGCGACTGTGGACGACTGTGGACTTTTCGAGTGTGACAAAGACCGGGAGCGCTGTCCCCTCCCCGCGGCAGCTGTCCTTGTCATCGCCCTGCTGCCCGGCAGCTGCGGAAAGCCCTCTGGGTTTGTTCACTGTTCTTCTCAGCTGCACCTGCCCCTGTCTGCAGATTCCATTGCTGTGTCCATTGCCAGTCTAATAGTGACATGTCAGAGGATTTGCAGAAACCTGTTATTTGGTGTCTGGTTGTGTTGGATAAACGCAGTGTATTGGGGTCGCCCAGTAAAGGCCTGTTGAAGGGCACTTGATGCTGGTTACGCGTCTGAGAAAACGTGAACTTCAGACTGCCCTGAGAGCTGCCAGGACCCCCCCCATCTGTAGGTGCAGGTGTTCTGCCTGTAAGTTTTTCACCTGTGCCCTGCTCAGCAGGTGGCCACGCCCCTTCAGTGCCTAGGGTTGGAGTTTGTGATGATCTTGTGTTTGCTGTATCTGTAAGCTGCCACAGGCCGGCAGAGTGGTGGACCTCAGTATTTCCCTTTCTCCTTTGGAGGGGCTCAGTCTTCGGAGTAAGCTTCAGAGCATGGGAGCCAAGGCTGGGCGTGGTCCAGAGGCTGGGGAGACACATTCCTAGATGCCGTGGGGCTTGTTTAGTGTCACTAGCCTTCCCATTGCCGGAGATGGTAATAACAGCCTGTGTTTCCGGGAGCCTCACTGCGGTGCTTGCCCCTGGGCGCTAAACATCACGTGACCTTCTCCGCAGTGCATCCCCTACTCAGTGCTGCTGAAGGACCTGGAGATGCGGAATCTCCGGGAACTGGAGGATCTCATCATTGAGGCAGTCTACACTGACATCATCCAGGGCAAGCTGGACCAGCGGAACCAGCTGCTGGAAGTGGATTTCTGCATTGGCCGTGATATCCGGAAGAAGGACATCAACAATATTGTCAAGACCTTACACGAATGGTGAGACTGAGAGACGGGGAGGCGGCTGCCTGGCTTGCCTTGTGCCTCACTTGGAGAATTGTGCTCTCCAGGTGTTACCTCGGACCACCCGGGACCTGGGGCCTTGGGACCCTTAGCCAGAGCGGCTGCGCGTGACTGCAGCTGTGCGCAGGGACCACTTCAGGCTGCCTGGTGCCTGTGGAGCAGCTGTGTTCTCGAGCAGCAGGGGCAGCTTCGCAGCAGGCGCTCAGGTGCCCAGGGCTGGCCGGTGGGGCTGCGGAAACAGCTGTGTGACCCTGACCGTGTGCTCTCCAAACTCGGCCTGGGAGTGTGGGCAGGCTCAGGAAGCTCGCGCTGCCAGAGTCTGGGTGAGCGACCCTGCGTTGAGCGTCAGGAACACATTGGGCTGGTGGGGGTGAGCTGCTAGGGTGTTGAAGGCGAGGGGTGACGTGCTCCACACTGGAACTTTCCATGACTCTATCTTGGTGTATAAAAGGGAGTGGGACATTGCACAAGCTCTGTTTTAATGGAATTTGAGGTTTGTGAGGGCTGGCAGCCTGCATCCTGCGTGCCGCCAAATCGCCTGCTGGAGTTACTTAGATGACCTGGGGCTTTTAAAACCAGAAGGGGGCCTCCCTGGTGGCCTAGGGGTCATGCCTTGGCACTGGCAATGCTATGGTCTAAGTTCGATCCCTGGCCAGGGAGCTGACCCTGTCTCCCTGTTGCTCCCCTCAGCAGTATATTTCTGTTGATTCGCCTGTTCTGCTCCCCACTCTGTCTTTGGTGAGTCTTCTCACCCCTGCACCTCTGGCCTTACCCCAGTTCTTCACACACACACACCCCAGAAGGGCTTAGTGCACACACACACACACACACACACACACACACACACACTAAAACCAGACTGACTCACACACACACACACACACAAACCACACACACACACAACCAGAAGGGCTTAGTGAGAGAATAACGTCAGCTGAGCTTTGAAGTGGGGCCAGGGTTAGTGTGTCGCTGGGGGTGGGACAGACATTCCCAGCGGGCACGTGGCAGGCGAGGAAGCAGAGAGTAGGGACATTGTTTTCCTTCAAACAGAGTCTCTGGCTTACCCCCAGGTGGCGTATGTTCAAAGATGAGGTGCCCAGCTTTGGCCCCCTGAGTTCCAGTGCCCCTTTGAGTTTCTCTCACTGCAGACACTTAGCCCCAGGGCTTGTGCTGCCCACCCTTCACCCCTACTTTCGCCTCATGGGTATCCCCAAACTTCTTCCCTTCATAGCTCTCACACAGCAGGAACTGGCAGAGCATTGTAAAGCTGTTAAGTCAGAGTAAATGGGCTGAGCTTATCAGGTGTCACGTGACCGTGGTCTGGTCCAGAAGGCCTCGCTGCCGCTCCCTCTGAGAGGGAGCTCACTCCCCTGGCTTGGAGATCACTGACACGGCTCAGTCCCTTGTCTTGATGCCACGTTTTGTACCAGCAGTGCCATCCTGAGCCCCTGCCGGGATGCTGCCGGGCACATTGCCCACGTGCGTGAAGGTGCTCAGACTGCAGAGAGCCCGAGTGGGGCACGGCTCCGGGCAGAGGCCGCGCACCCTGTGCTGTGCAGGCCCCGGTGTTCGCGCTGCTCGTCTGCCCGTGTTAGGGGAAAGGGAACGATGGGGTGGCGGTGAGGAGAAAGGAGCCATCTCCAGAGTACGTGCTTTTTGAAAACTCTGTCGAGAAGGTGGCTAATCGGTGCCCGCGTGACATCTTTCCTGCCTCCTTTCGCTGCATCCGTAACACTTCCCCGTGGGAACCAAGGCCGGCGGCTGACGCTGTTCCCTAAGGCGCCGCCCCTGCCCCCGCCCGGTCGCAGAGCGCCTTTCGGAAGGCGCGAAGGGGTCTGGCCCCGGTTTCTCCTGGCTGGGGAGGGAGGCGGGGGCTCTTGCTGGCCTTTGCGGCTCAGGCCTGGCTGTCTCCTCTGTAGGTGTGACGGCTGCGAAGCGGTCCTGCTGGGCATCGAGCAGCAAGTGCTGAGAGCCAACCAGTACAAGGAGAACCACAGCCGCACTCAGCAGCAGGTGGAGGCCGAGGTGAGGACGGAAACCCTGTCCGCAGACAGCCCTGTGTGTTCCTTGTCTCGTGACCCTGGTGTTGCTAGGACCAGTGCGGGGACAAGTGGGTGACACGGTCCCTGCTCGCGGTCCTGAGGCCTGGTCCTCGGGGACCTATCGGGGGCTGTGGTTCCTCAGCACATTCGCACTTGGCAGCTGTCTGGCAAGGGAAGGAGGCTGGGAGGGATCTTCCAGGCGGGCAGGCAGTGTCCACACGGGTGGAGGGAGCGTGCACGTGGGCGGGGTCAGAGGGGCTTTCCGGGCCTTGCTTTGCTCCAGTTTCTGAGTGGGAGGTGCCCGGTGTTTATTTTTCCCTCTAAACTACATTTACCTGTTACCTTTGAAAAGTCATGATGGAGTTTATGCCGAAAAAAGAAGGGGGAGAATTGGGATGCCATGCAGGTGAAGGCCAAACGTGCGGTTGTAATTGGCCGTGTCGCCGGGTGCTTCAGGACCTGTTTCACCTTCGGTGGGACACAGGCGCCAGCCTCTGAGTCCCCAGGTGTGCCTGTTCCTGGACACCTGTGACGTGATCTGGTGTGTTTGTAGCCCTTGAGCTCAAAATGTTAGCCAGCGCGGGTTCTGCCAGCTGGTGTCCGTAGGGCCACGGCAGGGTGCAGCCCAGAGCTGCAGCTGAGGACTCAGGGTAGGTGTGCCTTTCAGGGTGGTGACGCTGCGGGTTCAAGCGCAGCACAAGAAGCCAGCCCCCACTGCCTCAGCTGGGTTCAATCCCCCACCGGGAGGTGACCCACAGGGCGCAGCAGACCTCTCCCCTCAGTAGTGTATTTCAGTAGATCCACCTGTGCTGCTCCCCGCTCTGTCCCTGGTGAATCCTCTCACCTCCCCTGCACATCTGGCCTGTGCCCCAGCTCTGTATGCATACATCTTTTTTAAAAAACCAAGTGGGGGGTTTTGGGAAACTTGGGAATTTCCCCCACCTGTAATGTGCATTCCTTGAAACCGCACCTGTGTGGTTTTTAGCCCCTCAGAGCAGGTCCTTGCCCCACGCCCCTCCGCACAGTTGTGCAGGAGTTCGTAGAGCCGTTTCCGGCACCCCGGTAAGGGTGTTGGGCTGCTGGTCTCTGCTTTCTGCAAGCTGGAGCGCGTTTATTTGGCTGCACACACTGCACATCCCACCTCTGGAGATTCAGCCTGGCTTTCATTTCCCACCTTCCAGTCAGAAGAGGGAAAGACCACAGGTTCCCAGTTTGCTTTCTGTCGCTGTGATTGGTTGGCATTTTCTAGGACTTCAGACAGTGCAGTGGCACCGAGTTTGCACGTGTCCGCCAGCCTCACGCGCCTCCCGATTAGTTCGGGTTCGGCCTCGTGTGGCAGGTCGCTCCTTTGTCTTGCTGAGCGGTGTGCCCAGACGGCCTGAGCTCAGCTCTAGCCTTTGTCTCTTACAGTGAAGCAGCCGTGGGTGTTTGCACACAAGCGAGAGAAGGCAAACTCCAGGTTAATTGGCCAAAGACAGCCCCGTGCTCGGCTCTCAGGTGCCGGTCCTCCTCCTGAATGTTGCGGCCCTTCTCTGGCCTGGGGCTCACTCTTGGGAACTAGTGAGGTTTGGGGTGAAATGTTCCTCACTGACCTGGGCAGCCTGCATGAAGCCAGCTCCTTCACGTGGTCATCTGGGAGGAGCTGGCCACCTCTGCTGCCCAGGTGTCCAGCCCGCTGTGTGGCGGGGGTGGGCAGTATTAGTTGTAGAGTTTTGAGCTAGTGGTTCAGGCTTATTTCTGTGGTAAGTGGAATCTGAGCAGAGCAGGTGCAAGAGCCTTGCTACTTCGGACTCCTGGCTGATTGGGCTCACGCAGAAGCACATCCAGCGGCCATACAGCAGCAGGGACGCTCTAAGTTGTGCTTATTTAAAAAAAAAAAAAAAAAAAGGAGCCCGCACTCCGGCTTCCCAGGCGGGTTGCTGGAAGCGGGGCCGCCGCCGCTGCAGGACCTGCGGCCGCCACCAGGTGGCGCCAAGGGCTTACTTAAAGTTGGGAGAGAATTTGCTCTCCCTGCCTGTGTGTGCAGGAGGCCCTGTAATTTCCCCTGGTCCTAATAAGCTTGTCCTTTCAAAATGTAGAAAAAAAGTAATTTGTGGGGAAGGCCACCTCCACTACCCAGTCAGACAGTCTCTGGGGTGGTGTTTCAGAAACTGGGAAAGAACCAGCTCTTCCCGGGGGGGCGAGCCTTGTTCCTGTCGCTGGAGGGCGGGCACTAACCCACTGTCCGAGGGGACAGCGCCAGACTCCGGCTTTGTGTGTCGAGGAGGGCTGTGGCGCTACTTTGACAGGATCCTGAATCAAAGACTTAAAATAGCTGGAGTTGGGCCCTCTCTGGTGGCACAGCGGGTTACAGCACAGCACTGAGAAGCTAAAGCCTCTTCTGCATGAGTTCCATCCTGCCTGCCCCAGAGGTGACCACAGGGCGCGGCAGACCTCTCCTGACCCGCCCGCTGCTCCCCTCTGCAGTGTACTTTGTCCATCTGCCTGTTCTGCTCCCCACTCTGTCTCTGGTGAAGTCTCTCGCCGTCCCCGAGCCTCTGGCCTGTACCCCAGTTCTGTATGCACAAATAAATAAATCTTAAAAAAAAAAAAAAAAGCTGGAGTCACCATGTGGCCATGGGGGCCCGTGTTCCCACGGTGGGGAGTAGGGTGCCGGGCGCAGGGGCCTTCTGTGGGTGGAGATCAGGACAGCGCGGCACCCTCGGGAACTGGGATAGGACCCGGGGTTTCCTGTTGGGAGCCTTGTGAAGCTGGACATGCTGAGCTTGGGGGAGAGCAAGAGAAACAGCGAGGCGCCGGCTCTCGAGGTGGCCTCTGTTGAGAAGCCATCAGGGAGCCCTGCCTTTGTGAGAGGGGCTGGGTGAGTGCGCCAGGGTGGAGCCTGCACCCAGACACCCCCTGTACAGACCCCCGAAGGCCACGCCAAAGAGAGGCACCGCTGCTGATGTCTGCTGGGCCCTGGGGGCTCTCAGAGGCACAGGTGAAGGGTCGGAAACTCACTTGGGGGTTGACTCGGTGCCTCGTCCTCGTTCCTGTGGATGACCCGCCTGTCAGTGACCGGCTGTGGAAGCGGCCGGTGTCGGTAGTACAGGCTGACTTTCAATAAAAATCATTGCACCCAGGAAACAGGTTATTAAACGGCACTGTGAGCCAGGGCGACGTGGACAGTGCTTGCCTGTCTTGCTTTTACTAAGACCCCCGCGGCCCCTGCTCCTGCCCTCCCTAAGAACGTGGCGCCCCCTTTACTTTCTCACCAGCACACATGTGCCCCCCTCTGCTTTCTCTGCTTACACTGGTTGTGAAGCGATGCTTCCTCTTCTGCTTTTCCCTCTTTCAGCTGGCAGAGGGCTGGCTCGGGAATGTGGGGGGGTGTCGAGGAAGCCACTGTTCGGAAGGCGACGTGTGAGGGGTTATTAGATTTTAATGTGCAAACCCTGTGATCTGGAAAGGTCACCCGCTGGCAGACTCCCTCCACAGGTGTCCACGACGGAAAGTCAGGCCCACCGGGGAGGGGTTCATGGCGCCACACAAGTGACTTCTGTGGCTGCCTGGGTGGGGAGTGGGGGGCGCGCCCTCGAGTGGGGAGGAGGTGCAGAGAGCATGACCGGGGTGGTCGCGTGGCCGGGCCCTCCGTGGCGGGCTCGGGCTCGGCGGAGGTTCTCCCTCCATTCGGGAAGGGCCCGCGGAGCCGTATTCCCAAAGTTTTTGTGAAAGTTGCTGTGGTTCCACGTCCACACTGCTGCTGGCTGGGGATGGGGTTCTTGGGTCACCCTTCTCTTCCCAGGGCCACGAACGCCCTGCTTTCCTGAAAGCTCCTGTGTTGGGCCTGTCAGATGCTTCCTTTGCCTTAGCCTTGGGCCAGACAAGTGTCTGCCGTATTCGCCTCACGCCTCCCCGGGTGCCCCGGCTTGTTTCTGGCCACAAGTCAGCTTTTCTTTGCTCTTGCCATCTTTATCTTACGTAAAGGTAATCGGCAGTTGACTCTTCTCGGCGAGTGACAGCACATTGTCACATTGTCTGAACGTACACGGTCGTCAGTTCCCTGTGGGTGGGTGGCTGTGTCCTGTTTGGTCGCCTCCCCAGACGGTTCTCACTGTGGAGAGGACAGGTTTGGGCATTTCCGGGCGTACAGGCTGACACACCCGTCCTGTCTCCCTCAGGTGACCAACATCAAGAAGACGCTCAAAGCCACCGCGTCCTCCTCGGCCCAGGAGCTGGAGCAGCAGCTGGCGGAGCGGGAGTGCGCCCCGCACGCCGAGCAGAGGCAGCCCGCCAAGAAGGTGTCCAAAGTGAAAGGTCTGGTCTCCAGCCGCCACTAGGGCTGGCTGGGGCAGCTGGCACTCACCAGCCCTGGGTCAGGTGGGGAGAGGACACCAGGGCCCGTTTCCTCCCCTCTGCCTGCAGTGAGTTCCAGACCTGCCCGCCCTCGCCAGCACCCACACCCCGTTGGTACTGTTCCGGAAGAACCGTTAGTCCTCTCCTCACCTCCCCCCCCAGTTGTTCCTTCAGACTCAGGGGCGCTGCTGAGATGCCATCCCAGGGTCGGACTTGTCCAGCTCCCCCCGGGGGTTCTGTCTCTGAGAAAGGGCTCATCTCCCCTCCCAGGTTTCCTTTTGCCCCGCGTCATTTTGTTAGGCTGGTCATTCGCCGGAGGCGCCTGGCCGGTCGGGGGGCTGCGGAGGCCCTGGCGAGGCGGGCTGCCCCCCACAGCCCACGTGCCGCCGCGCCCGCCCTGCGCCTCCTCGCCAGGCTCTCGCGCTGGCTTCCCCTCCGGCCTTCCCCTGCTGGCAGCTCCGAGCGGGCCTGGAGCCGTGTGCGGGGCCGCGGTGCCGGCCACGCGGTTCGCAGCCCCGAGCCCAGCTCCAGGTCACACCGGTCGGAGCCTGGCGGAGCCCGCGCCCCGCTGCCTCCCGCCGCCACTGGCTGGCTGCTGCAGCGCCCCCCAGCGTGATCCTCCTGGCTGCGTCGGTGGTGGCGTGGGCGTGCGAGGCCTCGCCTGGGGAGGGCCTGTTGCTGCTTCTGTCTCTTCCCGCCCCCCACCCCCACCGCCCTGGGGGGTGACCCAGAGCCCCGATGATGGTGTCTCCTGGCGAGAGAGAAGGACTTGACTAGCCTTTCTGGACTTGAACAGTTTCAGGTTATAGTTTACTTTTTTTTTTTTGTACAGGTTCTGATTCTAATACATTTCAACATGCCTTTTCCCCCCCTGTGTCAATATTTGTTATGGACAAATCGCCGGGGAGGTCTCTGGTGGAGGGTGGGGTGTGTGTTTGTGTGTAGTGTTTTTTTTAAGGGGGAGGTGAAGGTCCTGGGTTGATAATAAAGTTCACTGAGGGAAAAAGCACATTTTAGAATAAAAATAAAAGTGCAGATTGACTGTATGTGGCTACAGAGTGTGGGGTCGGACAGTGGCGGGCCTCAGGGGACTGGTCTCGGGGCGCCCGGGGGATCGTACCACAGGGGTGGACATGAACGTCTCTTCCTGAGGTGCCCGGCAGCTGCCTCCCGTTGGGGGAGCATTCACGAGGTGTTCTCGTTTCCCTGGAACCTCTGCCCGCTCGAGGGTGAGGTTTCTGTCCAGTGACTGAGGAGGCCCCGTCAGGTGCTGGGTAGGAGGGTTTCATCCCGGCCCAGGTCCCCTCCGTGCGGAGAGCTGGCCTGCAGGTCTCAGGAGCTTTGGGGGGTATGCCAGCCCACACCGCTTTAACCATGGAGTCCCTTTCCCTGATACCTTGCAGGGCACAGCTTGGGATTTTGGAAACGTCTCTTAAAGACACCTTCCAGGCTCAGTGGTTTTCCAGCTTTTCTCCCTGGACCCAGGCCAGCTGCTGGGCAGCACTGAGGTCACCCCAGTTCATTGGAGCAGTGGGGACACCGGGTCAGCGCCCCTGGTGGTGAGTGGCAGCTGGAACCTGTCACCCATCCTGACGCCTATGGCGTCAGGTCTTGACTCCCGTGTGCAGCCAGACCGAGCGTTGCACCCTCTGCTTACTCCCCTGAGGGCTCATCCGGTCTTCCACTGACTCCCAGGGCCCATGGCTTCCGCTTCCCAGAGTGGCCCAGACACCGTCTAAGGGCAGGAATGTGGGACTGGGGACTCTGGAGCTGTGTGAACGGCCGGAATGTTCCTCTGGCTGAGAGGAACTCTGCCGAGAGGCCTGGTCCCCAGGCTCTGCTGTCGCCCCCGGCCTGTCTGACAGCTGCTCTGCCATGTCCCTCTGCAAAAGACTGAGAGCAGGTGTCTCGGCAGCGCGGCCTCTTAGGTTGGGGTGACTACACCATGGGGTGAAACTGAGCTCTGTGGGCTGGCTTTGCCTCCTGTGACTGAGCCGTCTGCTCCCCTCAAGTCTGTTTTGCAGTCTGTGTCCACGTGGGGGATGCGTGGGTCCTGTGTGGGTGATGTGAGGGAGGTGATCAATGCAGATCTGAGAAGACCACCGCTGGGAGCAGGCTCCCCCGACCTGTGAGTCGTAGGGAATGGGCAGGGCCGCGGCGATAAGCAGCTTGCTCCCTTTTATGCATTTCCAGCCGTCCCCGAAGTGTGGGGCTGCTCGAAACCCAACCAAATGCCAGGGCTGTGCAGCAACAGTCGGAGACTTCAGTTCATGCGTTAGGACGCTGGACTCTGGTCCTCTGATGGCACCCCGTGCCCTGGTGTCCTGTGGCGGCACTGGAGGGGTGCTTTCACTTCCCAGTACCCCGAGAGGTGTGTGGACTTTTCAAGTTTTGTCTGTTAGGTGGATCACATGTGACTAGGCCTCAGGATGGTAACGGGGATCTCACCCCTTAGGTGGGGTTTGTGAGTGATGAGAACTGTTGTTCTTGGCTAAGAGGGAGCTCATAGGGCCCTCCCTGGTGGCAGAGCCTGTTAAAGCGCAGCACATGAAGCTGTCCGCAGCCCCTGCAGCACGAGTTTGATCCCTGACCAGGGAGGGACCCCCAGGGCACAGCAGACCGCTCCTGTCTCCCCGCTTCTCCCCTCAGCAGTGGATATCAGTCAGTCCACTATTCTACTCCCCATTTTGGTGAATTCTCTTACACCTCTGGCCTACACCCTAAGTTTTGTATGCGTAAGTAAACAAAACTTAAAAAAAAAAGAAAGTGAACCCGCAGCAAGGCCGCAGTGCCCACCGGCACGGCCTTCCTGGCAAGCCCCCCACGGACCATCGGGGACCTCTCCTCCAGTGGGACTGCCGGGGAGCCCACGTTTGTCGTCTCCGGCCTTGACTGCGTCCTCGGAGCCGTGGGCCCTGCGGTCGCCTGCCCCCGTGTGCTCACCCCGACAGCTGCAGGAGCCCCGCTGTTCCGGGAGAGTTCTCGTCACACGCCCCTCAGCTGGCCGCGTCCTGCTTCCCGGTGAGAACGGGGAACAGTGGTTGTGAAAACCCTCAGTCTCTTGTCGCCTCCAGCCCCCATTCTTACCAGATGGGAAGGACACCCCTTTCCATCGCTCACAAAGTTCTGGCCCCCAGAACTGACTCGCATCAGCCCCTGGGAAGGCTGCGCGGGCTGCAGAGCCACGGCTGGTTGAGGGGAGGCCCGTTTGGGGCGGGTCCCCTCTCCAGCGCCACCTTTTTCTGTAACAGCAGCTCCTTGAGAGCTCCTTAGCCCTCGGTGTCAGGTCCGCCCTCACCCACAGCTCGCTCCTCGCCTCCTGCCCAGCCTGTTGGGAGCCTGTGCCCACCAAGGCTGGCGCGTGATTTATGTTGGCAGCATGGAGCCCGCTTCAGGTGTCCTCTTGTGGCTCTACTCTGGGATCCCTTGCTTACCCCACAATGTCGGGGCGTCTCTGCCTTCGGAGAGCACTGGAGGTGCTGGCTCAGCTCCATGGTGACCGTGACTCAGCGGCTTAGGACGCGACTCCCAAAGCCACCTCTGGCTGGGCTGCCAGCCTCCAGGCCGTAGGCAGCCGCATCCCTCAGGCAGTCAGAAATGGTGGACAGTCCAGGGGTGACACCACCGCTCTCCCCCACCCCAGGGCACCGTGATCGCTGCCTGCTGCCTCACAGTTCTGGGAGCTCCAGGTCCACCGTCCTGTTTGGTCTCCTGAGGCCTTTCTCTCGCTGGCAGATGCCACCCTCTCCATGTGTCCTCACAAGGCCTTTCCTCCGTGCCTGTCTGCCCCCCATCTGGCTTTCTTACAAGGACACGAGTCTGGATTAGGGCCCCGCCTTCTGGCACCCCTTAACCGTAATTGCTTCCTTAAGGGCCTGCTCTCAAGGGCCTATTGTCGGTTATAGTCACAGGGGTTGGGGCGTCATTGAATGGGGGGAGGGGTGCCTAATTCCATTGATAAAACTCAGGTGCCTGAGCCAGAACCTGGGGTCCATGGTTCGTCCCCAACCCCCTGCCCCAGATCACTGTACCACTTCCTCTTTATTTTCAAACCAGTCGTCTTCCTGACTCCATTCTCAGTCAGGAAGCGAGAGGACTCGGTGCGGTGGGCAGGCCCGGCCGGCCTCAGGCGGGCTCTGCGGACCGCAGCGGCGGGAGGGCTCGGGAGCCCCAGCGCAGAGACCCCAGCACGCCCCGCTTTGCCCAGCTGTACCTGTGACGCTGGCCGCGAGGGTCCCTGAAACGCTCCAGCAGCACCTTTGGGGTGACTCCTGCGTCGGGGCCCTGATGGCAGCTGCCCGGGTTTGACGCTCAGGAGCCTTGGTCTCAGCCGCCCTGGGCTGACCGAGGAGCCTGCCGGTCGCCAGCGAGGCCCGACTCCGGGCTCTGCACAGGTCCCCCCTGGACAGTTCACTCAGTGGGCACCTCAGTGTGGGCTCGGGTGCCCCCTCCCGGGGCGTCGCGGGCTTCAGCGTGGGAAGACCCGAGCTGCCCGGAGCGGCCAAGTGAGGGGCCAGAGTGGGGATGTGGCCTGGTGGCACAACCTCAGGCCTGGGGTCGTGTCGCCCGCTGCCCACGACCCCACGGGGCATGAGCTGCGAGGACCAGTCTGGGCTCAGGTGAGGCTGCCACGGCCCTGAGCACAGGGCAACCCGGGGCTCCAGCCGGGCCTCCGGGGCTCCAGCCGGGCCTCCGGGCCTGCCTCCAGCTCAGCTGCATCCCAGCCCGCCTTTATTCTTAACTCCTTTCCCCGTTTTCTGTCCCACTTAACGCTTGTGAACATTCCCTCCCTGCGGACTGTGATACCCATCCTATGCCAGGATGCAAAGGTCAAGAAGTACGTGACGAAGAAAAGTATGTACCAAGAAATGATAAATGCAAAAATAAATTACTGGTAAAATCAATGGGTTTTAAAAAATGAAATAGACTTGGCAAAACTAATGAGGAAAAGGCAATAAACGAACAAAGAGAAGCTACGATTTTAAAAATGTTAGCCGCTATCAATTTGAAGCTTAATGATACGGATAATTTTCTGGGAAGATAAAAATGACCGTAACTTAATCATAAAAAATAGAACATGGAACTGGATAAAAAGGAAATAAAATGTCAGAGCTGCTAAAGACTTAACCTTGCAAAAGCCTCTGGGCTCATTGTTTATCGGGTGGGTTCTTGTTATTAAAGGATTAATGATTCCTTTTCTTCTTAAACTGAACAGTTTTTGAAGAAAAGGAATGAAAATTCCATTTAAAAAGTATTTCCAGTTGAACCTTACTAAAATCCAGGAGAACTTTTTTTCTTTTAAGGTAACCTTATAGACAGATGTTAAGAATCATGCAAGATCGGCCTTCGCCCCAATGGTCCCTCGGAGGACTCCACTGAGAAGGCCCCATGTACTTCCACTCTGACCAGCGGTCACTCCCTGCCAGCTTGCCCGCTGAGGCCTGGGCCCAGGGAGCTGGGGGGGAGCAGTGCTGCCTCCGGCACCCGAGGGCGACGTCAGCCCCCAGGTCTGTGAACACCTGGGTGAGGAGAGAAGGCGAGTCCAGGAGAGGCAGGCCGCCCGCCGCCCGCCCCGGGACGGGCCCGCAACAGGGTGTCTGATCCGCCCCTCCCCACGCTTCCCTCACCTGGAAAGGGAGCTGATTCTCACAGCCTGGCCCTCCAGAGGGTCGGTGAGGATTCCAGGCAAAGCCCAGCCCTCGGGTGGCCTGGAGCGGTCTGGACCAGGGCACTTTGGTCGGAACCTCCATCTAGGCCGGTCTGTAATCCATAGTGGACTTTGGGTAAAGTCAGCAGCCATTATTGGCCACAGTAATTCTTTGAGTTTTCCCTGGCTTGTTAAGTAAATTCCCTGCGTCCGAGTAGCCTCGCCGATGTGCGCGGGTGAAGAGCTCAGTGACCGGTAAGCTGTTGGCTGGCGTCCTTGGTCAGTTTAGTGCCCTTGCTGCCCTGGATCAATTTCAGGACAGACCTTTACCAACCTGCACCGGGCTGCACCCCCACAGTCCCTGTCCCCAGCCTTGCCATGGCTCTTCC